TAACCCTTCATAAGCAGAAGGTGACCAAAACTACCAAACCTGTTGTGATCAGGCCCCATTTCAGTGTATTTATATTCTTCCTGAATCTTCTCCTTTTGGAAAAACTGATTCAGGCGTGCCTTGGCATTGTCCAAGGTCCAGCTTCCATGAAGATCAGCATTTAAGTCCACTTCTGATTCTGAGGTCTAATTTTGGAAAAAAGTATCATTTACTAGTTTCTTATAGATTTCAGTTTTAAACAGACTTACAATAAGTCTTTAAATAAAGATGTCTAGATGCTATAAAATATTTAATACATTGCAGAAAATGCTAAAAGGTCCTCAGTATTTCCTTATTTTCACAACCAAATATCTATACAAACAACTGGATATTCACAGTACCCAAACTGATTTGTTTCTAGCTTAAACAAGTTACTTTTGTTAAAAGTCAGCAAATAAATCTGCAGCTTAAGTTAAAAACAACAGCAAAATGTATAAAATGAAACAGTAACCTTGATTATAAATGCTAATAACATGTTAAAGGGAGTGAAAGATACCTATTAAGGAACGAAAGGAGAACTCCACAGAATGACTTACTACCTGTGCTTCTTGCTCGTCTTTCTTTGAATAATAATCTTGCAAATTTGCACCTCGATCCCACTGAGCTCCACGACTGTCACAGTTTCCAGGTGCTCCAGCTGGGCCATTGCCTACCACATGGGAAAAAAATAAAATAACTGCCCCAATGCATATTCTTAGCAATGGACAGGTATTGCCCAGCAATCTCAACAGGACATGACCAGTCCCTCAGACCTCATGTAGTCATTCACACCTCCGCCTCAAAACTCATTGTAGTTTCTAACTATCTAACTTCTAACCATCTTCTGACTGCAGAATTATGCTGTGAGGGAAAATCCCACACAAATCTATATGCATCTATTACATGCACATACATGCAACTTAGTTTTCACACACTTACCTATTTCAGCCTCTATAATCAAATGTGGAGGAAGAGGGCCACCCAAAGAAGAACTGGAACCAGTAACATCTCTATTTATTTCATATCCTCCATCAGGGATATCACCCACTGCTGGCTAGGAAAGATAATTAAGTAAAATCTCAGCATATTTGTACAGAATAAGTTTTTTTACTATTTAGGTAGAAAACTGTTCAGGCAGTTTAAAGAGCTCCTGCAACATTATACGATAGTTACCCCCAGCAGTAACCCCCCCCAGTAACACCCTTTTAAAAAACGAAAGGAACAAATTGGTCAATATTTGGCTTTTTGTGGATGTTCTATAAAAGGATTTCCAACCAAAAAGTAGCCCTTACTTGTTCAACAACCACAAACACTGCTTCCACTGATCAAACTATGCTATCTTACAAAGATATATCTTTAACGAGGCACTAGAAAAAGACTTCCCTCCCAATGTATAACATGTGGCTTCATGCTTTATCTACTACTCTCCAAAACTGCTGTAAAGAGTTACTCTCCTCTTCCTCAGCTTTTATGTGAGAGTCACTGCTGATACTCACATGGCTCATGAAGCATTATAAAAAGCAGTGATCTTGCTACACATGAGCAGCTAAGGCATAAAGCATTAACGATTTAAAAAATGTCTAGTTTGAGATGTCTGTGATATTTTTTTGTTGTTGTTATGTTATTTCTTTAAAGTGCCCAGTATGCTATACCATAACATGCACTTAAAACAATTCTCAGTGTCAGGTCTGAATATTTAGCATTTCCAAAGTCAGGCTGTACCTTACAGGTACTCCGAATTCTTTCCAGCCTCATCAATCGCACAGACCAACACACAGCTGTTTTTACCAGATCACCCTACAAGTTTCACTGAAGGTATTCCAGCTTTCCAGCACCACAAGCAGAAGTCCTGCACATTCAGTCTTCTTCACTACACGTGGGTGCCAGACTGAACTCCAGGGCTGAAATGCAGCTGGAGGCACAGCACTGCAATTAAAGGTTTTTCTTTCTTAAGGAGTACACAGCAGCTTACTCCAAAAGATGGAATTTCCTCTTTCTTCATTTCATTCACCCGAACTAAGTAATTGACAAAGTCTCGAGCAGCGTTGGTCTGCGCATCTTTCTTGTTCGTGGAGTTGCCCATGCCAACATAGTTAAAGCCTTCTACTCGAACCTGTAAATAAAAACATGATCTGTGGCATGTACAAGTGAAGGAGTCTTGAAAGTAACACCGACTGAAACATCAAATCTCAGTTGTTAATAAGAACAGGAGAAACATTTATAACCATTGTCACATATCGTCATACATATATAGGTATTTCAGTAGGTTTTGAATGTATACTTTATACCTATTAAAGAAAACACCCACAGTCTGTTCTTAGAAAGCATAAGTATTGCCCAAAACTTTGATACAGAAAACAAATCAGTGTAGGAAGGGATCCTGGCAACACACAGCAGCAAACTATGCCCAGGTTCACTTTCCTCAACCTTAATACCAAACCAACAGATGAGGACAGGAGTGAGCTTGTGCGCCCTCTACTGTAGCTCCACATTATTACAGCTAGCAAGATATAATCTATTTCATAGAGACAAACTTTAGTGCAGCAATTTTGTATCAGGCTAGCTTACATGACAGGCTGCTACAAACTCTGATGAAAGGATGCTTATTCAAAATTCAGCCCAACCAGATATTTTCCACCTGCTTTTCTGCAACCGCTCCTCATCTTAAAGTTATTGTCCTTCTTTTACATTTGCAGTCAACAACTTTGTTTCATTTCAGCTTCACTGTACAGCACTTGCACATTTCTGATTTCTACTCTTTCATTCTGCTGATGAGGTGAACAGCTTTTCACTACAGTTAGGTGTTCTTAAAAAAAAAAAGTAAGCAGACTTGCATATAACATTCCAGCTAGCTCGAACTAGAGTTTTGCACACCACAGGTACCAGACTGCATTATGTCCTTTGGTGCTGAATGACACTGAGCCATTTTCTCACCAAACAACACACTCTGCTAGTATTTTGCTTAACAGGTTCCAAACAGTGAGCTTCAATTTTCAGCAGCCTACCACAACAGAACAACCAAATAGTAACAGTACTGGATTCACAGCCATCTCGCCAGCCTGTGACAATCAGCAAAAGAAAACATTCATCCTTTTCATCTGTTAAGTTTCTATGGATGCCCACAGGACATCAACACACAAAAACCAGAACATAACTGTCCACACACACCCATTTCATCTGAGTAATGCTCAATCTTAGTTATAGTACCTTTAAAACTGGTTTAATATCTCTGTGTTTCTCAGCTTCGTCACTGGTGAGAAAAATGAACAGGGAAGAAAGGGTATAATGACAAAATCAAGGTGCTTAGTGCAAATCTACGACGTTGTTCACCAACTAACCCATTCTGTACATGGCCTCACACACCTGCTCCTTCTCAGAGGCAACCCAAATTCAAAGCTCTCTACTGGCACATCCACACTATCCGGAGCCATAAACAGAATAATGTTACAGCAGCGCACAGACTAGCAGCCAACCCAACAGGAATTTTCTTAGTACATTTCAATGCAAGTTCGACAGAGCACCAAAGCCTTTCACGACGGTGATGCACAGTATCCCTTGCCTATAACTTCAAACTGCACACAAACGCAGGGTAAGCGCACACGACAAGCTTCAGAAAACAGATTATTTTACTGCGAGAGATACGTACGAGACTGCTTCACTCGCACAAAACCACCGAGCGCATTGTACACCACGCACAAGAACCCTGCACACCTCGGCGGCAAACCGGCCAGGCCTCCGCGGCCTGCCCTCCCCAGCGCTGCCTACACCGCGGCCCCCCACAGACGCTGCCCGCACCTCGCAAAGGAAGGTCTGCCGGCTGCGGCCGCCGCTGGCGCGGATCTCGTAGGCCGGCGTTACTCTCCTCTTTCCGCACCAAGCGTAGAGGTAATTCTTCACATCCCCCATGGCTCCAGGCGGCGAGGGAAGAGGACAACAAGCCGCCCACTACTCCCAACACCGACCCTAGCGGCTGACGGCACCGCCCTCTGGCTCCTCACGGCGGACGCCGCGCATGCGCGGCTACGGCGGCCGCGGCGGTTCATAGTAGGGCCAGGAAATGGTGGCGGTGGGTGCACCGCGGCGAAGGGTTCCTGCAGCGGCGGCACCTTCCGGGGAGGTAGCAGCGTGTCATAGCGGCGGCTCGCTCGGCTTATTCAGTGCTACAGTATGGCTTCAGCCACAGAACGTGTTCCCTGGGTTGACAGACCACAGAGCGGAGCAAAGTGATTGGGGCCTGCTATGAAAATTCACCCCTTATCTAGACGCCATTTGCTGTGCCCTCAACTGAGATAGTCCCTGTTAGCATAGGAGCATGGGGGTTTAATTTTAAAAGGGCCTACAAAGCAATTCGCATGTATTCAGAGGGAGAGAGGCTCTGCAGGCCCGAGCTGCTCCTGCCTGACCATGCAGGGAGAACCTCTGAACCTACCCACAGCACTGGCTCCTGGCAAAGACGAATTGACCTTAATGTTTTACAAATTCGGGGGTGGGAAGGAATAATTCATTATTTTGTATTTCTTGATCAGTGGTTATATAGCAAGAGGAAGATGCAGACTTTTTCACACTCTGTGTTACAGTAAATTGGTGACACACCTCCATATTTACCCCTCTCTTTTCCAGACATTCTATGTGACTATTTTTGCGCACAGCAGCGCTGTCAGGAGGTATGAGCTGAGCAGTAGAGGGCACAGGACCTCACACTGCTCAGCTGCACATACCATCACACAAGTAAGAGGTCAAGCTGGTGGAGACAGGTTGAGTCCAGCATGCAGAAAAGCATCTTTTAATCCTACTGTTAGAACAGTAGGATTAAAGAAGACTGCATTCTGCACTGCAATAAAGAGATGTAGAGCTCAATTGTGGGTTTATTTTCATTGTAAGGAAAAAGATGGAGAAATACCTGCTTATTAGATGAAAACTCTGTTGCAAAGGGTTGGTTGGTTGGTTTTTTTTTTATTTTGCATTAAGCAAAGGTGCATAAACACAATGAGAAAAGACAAAATCAGAATTTTAGATGCACAGTCAGTGTCCCAGTGATTCTGACAAACAGCAAGATACTGCCCTGAGCAACCAGATGGTGTCATACAACTGCTTAAACAGAAGGTGTAGGGCTCACAAAGGGGGAAGACAAAACATTATCTAGCTGGAGGGAGAGTGGAGACAGATCTCCCTCCTTTCTAGACAAAAGGGGTCAGTATCTTCTAACTGGGGAAAAGTCTGCCTTTTTTTTATTAAAAGATACCAGCTAGTCCTGGAATGTGCAGATCTCCAGGAGCAGAGTAAAAAAGGCAACTAACTACATGTGCACCAACAAAGCTAGCCCTAACCAAATGGGGCTCAGGCACATTGCCAATTCCCTGAAAGAAATCACAGTCAATCACCTGGGCAGTGTGCTGTGTGAGAGCGAATTGCAGAAAAGGAGCCTCCATTTCCAGATTGACATGGAACTGAGTATCAGTCACCATCAGGCCACACAATGCTATCCAGTTTGGCTTTGGCCTTGATGATGAACTCCTCAGAGGCACTGACAAGTGGAAGCCGTGGAGGTCCCATGGGAATGCCAGAAACAAAAGTCATTACAGCTTTAGTCTGTGCAACACCAAAACCTGAGTGGACAAAAGCAAAATCAGGACATTTACAGATCATTTTGCTTAAAGCAGTTTCTATGCAGGTATCAAAAAAAAGCAGCAGCATAGAGTTCCTGTGTAATTCTCAGAAATGTGGACAGTGTAACTAAGAAGAGGTGTTTCCTTCCTAAAGATACCAAGCAGAGTACATTCTTAGACATGCACTTTCCAAACTACTGTGTCGTTTTACAGATAACCAGGGCTGTATGTGTGTTCCTTTCTCGTTGCCAAAATGTATTGCCATGCAGCCCTGACAATAGAAAAGATCATACGAGTCTTCCAGAGATAAACAAGCAAAAATCAGGCCACTTCAAATTTACCTTTGTTGGTAGGCTGAGCTACCCCAGCCAGTTTGTCTTCATGGCAACCCGGTGTCTGCAGCCTCATAGCTATCCCCTGATGCAGACACACATAAAGCCAAGCTCTGGGGGTAGTAACATCCTGCTGGCATGTGACCCATGACACTGGGTACCAGCTTAAATCACCATGGGCAACTTCAGGAGTCCTCTCTGTCCATAGTTCAAGTGTCCTTATGTACCTCTGGAAATTCAGCATTTGCTTCTGTTTACAAGGCTAAATAATGAAGCGTTTCCTCTGACTTTAAACTCAAGAAATAAAACCAAGCACTAAAGCTCAGCTAGATTCACTGGAGTTTGCATATGCATAGCAAAACCACAGTGAACAGTTTCCCTCATTAAGTGATAACCATTAAATGTCCAATTCAGTGTCCCCACACTACTGATGTGTTTGATTTTAATTGCTTTTTTTCTCTTAAAACTTGGCTTTGTTTCTAAAACTTATTCCATTTTAAAATGTTTTGGCCTTGTACAGCCTTGAACAGTTACTCTTAAATTATAGTAAGGCAGGAGAGACAATTCTCAGAGCTGTTTTTATACTGGAGCACCACCATTTCAGAAAAATGTAGAAACAAAACTAGAAATGAGCTTTTGGAGACAGAGCAAAAGAAAAAAACAACCCACAGAAAGACTTAGGATAAGAAAAAGGGTAAATCAGAGTCACAGTTTTAAAGCTATGAGGTTTCACAGAAGAAGGAAGGAAGTGAGAGTGGAGTCTGTCAGGGATGCTTGGTCAGCTCCCTCTGTTGAGATCCCAGCTGCTACTAACTCAGGAAATAGCAGACACGCTTTTTTCACTGTGAAATCTTTTGGGAAGGAAGTTCTGAGGATACAGCAACATGAGAGTTTTGGGAGCACCAAGCCTGCATTTTTATATGTAACAAGGGAAACAGGCAATGTAGGACTTACCTAGTTTGATGACAAAGTTGAGAAATTCTGCAGTGAGAAACTAGAAAAGACAATTGTTTATTAATGCCTTAACATTTTAAGATATAAAAGCATCCAGAAGTATTATGATAATTACATCTTATACATTTGTTGCACAGATTTGAGGAAAGCCCTTGGCCACTTGGCTAGTCTATGGAAAATACTAATTGAATTCTATTAAGATAAGGGAGGGAGGGAGGCACCAAGCTAAAAAGCCAGGCCATTGCTCAATCTGCATGTATGAGATTAGAGAGTTGAATGATAAGTAAGGCAGATCTTGGTTAAAAGTTAGTAAGGACTGTTCAAAAAGGTGAGGAGAGATGAATAACAAGCAGGGGGGGTTGGAGCTGAAAGAAGCTTGCTTTGATAAAGCTACCTCAGGGTACAAACCACCTGGAAAACAGCCCCAGTAAAGCTAGAGGAGAAAGAAGACTGCTCCTAGTGGGCACAGTGTAGATACTATACCTGATACTTCTGTGCTAATGCAAGGTCTGGCTTTGCAAAGGCTTGCAACATCAGATTGGTTTTTCGTCCCAAATAGTTGAATGTACTGCCAAAAAAAAAAACCAAACAAACAAAAACCACAACAAAACCCAAGTCAAAAATAGAATTGGTAAATGCAAAGGAAGAGCTTAGAACCATTAAAGAAAATCAGTAAGCTGTTGACACTACTGGAATGCTATTATTATGACAGAGATTCATGCAATGTGGTTTATACTGTCAAGCATCTGAAGTATGTCAAACCCTACACAAGAGTCTAGAGAGTAGGTTTCTCATCCCAGTTCTTTCCAAATGGAACTGCTTTTCAAAATAAAAAAAATAAAAAGATACAATATGGGAAGTCAATCACTTAATTTTCCAGTTGCTTGTTCATCTAAACTAGAACACAGATATTCCACATTAATACATCTAAGCAGCCTGGTGTGAGGGGCAGAAGACAAATCAGAAAATGAATTCAGTAGAGCCCTTTTCCTCACAGACTTCTCATGTGAACTAATGATTTTTATCTCTCTGGCTTTTAGTTCCTTACCCATATAATGAGATAAAAGTGTTTCCCTGTTTCAAAAAGTTGCTGTGAGGATAAAGAAATATGTTGAAACCTTTGGGTCAGCTTACGGACTACAGCAATAGTCACCCAAATGAACATAATCCAGGATCCCAGGTTATATAACCATCCCATCACTAGCACTGGAGCTAGCTTATCTACCTGCTTGTTACTGACTGTACAGCCCTACTATGTAAACTCCTCTGCTGTGGTGACAGAAGACAGAGAAACACCATGTAGACAATGGAAGATAGAGCAATATAGTGTGTGTGTCAAGGGGAAGGAGTCCAAGCCATACTGACCTTCCAACTGCTCCATTTGCCCCTACTGCCAGCGCACTCAACAGTTGCTAGTTTGGGGGTGGGGGGAGAAAAAAAAATTGTTTACTTCACATAATGAAAGAAAAAGAAAAAAGGGGGGTGTGGGGGTGGGAGATGTGGAAAGAAGCAGCAAAAATGCTGGCACTGAATGACCAGGGTTACTTTTTTCTCCGAGGCTAAAGCAAACGAATGCCTTAGAAGAAATTATTTTTAAGTGCCTCTTACCTCATCCACCCCATAAAGAAATGCAAACTGTTCGCTCTCATTCTTGTTTATACACTGAGCAAGGTCCAAGAGGTCCGTGTCACTGAACTTCACGCCCTGGAAGGTGGGGATCTGCTTTTTTATTCCATCCAGCAACTCTTCAACATGAACTGTGCAAAACAGCAATCTCATGTGAAGAAACAGCCCTGATCTGGGAGATCTCCCTGCCTTGTCCCCAAGAGGAATACTTAGTACTTTATAAGTTGTTCACTTTTGGCCTAAGCCTAGTAAACTATATAGCTTTAAAACAATGAGTAAAACAACTTCAGTGTGATTGCTTCCCAGAGTTATACAAAATACATCTTTCCACATTCTTTCAAGCATTCCTTTTACCAGCTCAGAATGGGAAAAAGCTGGGTAAGTGAAAGTTTAGCAATGAACTGGCAATAACATAATTAAGAATAAATATAAATCCGTACATCCAGAAACACCACATAACATACTGTCTACAGCAAATAACCAAAGATCTGTATTTTCTTCTTCGTTCCTCTGCTAAATAAGACTCGAGAAGCATTGTGGTTTCGTAAGTGATTTACAAGCAAACATGACTATGCAGTCAGTGTACACCAAGAGATGGTGGTCAGTATCTTGCAAAAAGTTGGACTTTACCTATGGTTATCCAAGGCAATTACCTATGCTGGTTCACACTAATTGCAAAGCCATGGTCAGCATCACCTCCTCCATCCCAGGTGCTCAGTATTCATAAGCCGTGACTTGTTTTCAATGAAGAGGAATTCAATTTATTTTCCAGTCTTGAATTCACCTTCCATTTTTCTAAAGGATCCTTTCCACTACAGCTTGCGATGGCAGTAGAGACCACACACCTGGTTTAGGCTGGTAGAATCATCACACCACCGACTGGAATTACTCAGGTTGCTATGAGCCTACAGGCTCAGGAAGAGCTGACTAAGCAGTACTTACTCTTCACACCTGTCAGATGAGGAATGTGATAGTAATAAAATGGAACCGCAGGGGCTTCAGATGCAACCTTCTGTAAGAAAGCAATCAGCTCGTCTGGAAGAAAACAAATCAAGTAACCTTGTAAGAGAAGGAGACTATCCTATCTTTCAGTGTAGTGAAAGACAGTTCAGAGTCACAGCAGCCAGTGCCTGTGCAGAGGCCATCTATAGCTTATGTACCATAAACAGTGATTTTAAAAACCTTCACACATCATAAAAAAATAAATTTCACAAAATTCAGTGAAAGACCTTAGGGAAAGCAAAGATGGTATTTATTTTAAACCAAACTGATTTCAGTAACTCACACTCATTCTCTTACAGATGTAACTCATGCATGTTCTCTCACACATGGAAGACCTGTGTGCCAAAGTGGTCACTGAGATCATTTGTGTGCAAGGACGCAAGAGAACAAGGGATCAAGTTTACATCTACCTCCCTGAGCTACTGCTCGATGATAATAGGTTTTGGACAACTTTTTTGTACCATTTCAGGAATGAAAGAGTTATTATTTATTCAGAAGGATCTAGACAGGCTGGAGAGATGGGCAGACAGGAACCTTTTGAAATTCAGCAGAGACAAATACAGGGTCCCGCACTCGGGAAGGAATAACCAACTGGACACAATCCTAAGTAATGTGCTCTAGTTGACCCTACTTGAACAGGGAGGTTGGACTAGATGACCCCCAATGGTCCCTTCCAATCTCAACTATTCTGTGATTACCACTGACATCCTTCCTAATAATCTTGTTCACTGTATCCTTAGGCAACCTTCCTATTGGCTTAGCAGGAAGAGAAATGGCAAAAACCAACATGCTGAAACCTCATGGCTATCCTACTACTATCAGCAAGGTCTTCTGCTGATCTCTGTGATGTTCCTCTGTGCTCACCATTCGACTGCCACTGACTGTGTCCTTGGCTGTCAATACCAGCCATTGTGGCAATAGACTCTGTTTTTGTCTGGTGCTTTCATATGAACATTTCCATTAATAATTAATTCAGACTGCTTTTTTACATTTCTGTTGCAAACTTCCACTTCATGTGGTTATTTTATGCTATGCTTATACTATTAAATGCAAAACAATTTAAGTTCTGAGGTAACCTTAGGTGCACAGAACCATCACCTCAGTAACACAAGGCATGCCTGTGCATCAGCAGTTTATCAACTTGGTCAGTGGACTGCAAGGGTAAGCAAGGAAGCTACTGCTTCCTTGTGTGGCCCAGATCAAGCATAAGCTCCACACTATCTATTCAGAAGACAGATTAATTAACTGCTCTTTCCCATAAGCAGCTCTTCTTTTCACAAGAGGCTAACAAAAGACATTCCTTCCCCCTTCTTACTGGGAGAATTCTGGTATCTCCCATCCTTAAAAAATGCTTCTAGGTTTTGCTTTTGCATGGCACCAGACATCACAGGTGTGCAAATACTATCACCAGAATATTTTCCAAAGAAAGAAGATGGCATTAATACTTTATTTATGATAAAGGTTTGGAGGGCAACTTAAAAGGCCTCAGTAGGTCTGGCAATAGCATCTACTCACCTTTGTTTGTGGGTTTGAAGAAGAATGGGGCTATTACAGCAATACCACTAGCACCTATGGCTGCTGCATGTCTTGCCTGTAAAAGAGAGCATGGAAGGTATCTGAAGGTGCATCTGCTTTACATTTATTACACACATAGTGAAAAGGAATCACATACACACCAGCTCTTGGGACTCTGGCAGACTCAGTGCTCCAACATGAATGATCACATGATCCAACCTGCACAAAACCAAAACAAATTTGAAAGATTTAGGAAATGATCGTGAAAAATACCAGTCTGCTAAATTGACTCGCTTCAAACCAGGGAGCCACAGAACACTGGTTAAACCTAAAATTATTTGAACCTGTATTGACCTGACAAGCAGACACACAGTGGCAAGCAGCTGGTAGTGGAAAAAAGAAAACACATTTGCAAATACGAATTGTGTGACTCCCTGCTGTCATATTTGCAAGGCTGTCAGGAGGGACAAATCTTAGCATTTTATTAGGAAGTTAAAATTAAGACATTAATTATTTAATGGGAAGCCAGAAAATGCAAGGATATTAAAGCATATCTTTGCTTTCTAAACCTATTTCTCTGCAGAACTACCAGAAGAGATCAACCTGACAGCAGCACCTTTTTACTGTTTGCTCCTGCCAAGGGACCCTCTCACGTTCCAGTCCATCAATCACATTGCTGTGTTACTCCTTTATATCCATATAGACCGTGAGCCTTCACACCAATATATTTCTGCTCACTATCACATAATCATAGAATCATAGAATGGTTAGAGTTGGAAAGGACCTTAAATCTTATCCAGTTCCAATCCCTCTGCCACAGGCAGGGACACCTTCTACTAGACCTAGTAGCTCAAAGCCCCATCTAGCCTGGCCTTTAACACTTCCAGGGATGGGGCAGCCACAGTTTCTCTGGACAACCTGTTCCAGTGTCTCACCACCTTCATAGTAAGGAATTTCTCCCTAATTTCAAATCTAAATCTGCCCTCTTGCAGTTTAAAGCCACTCCCCCTTGTCCTATCACTACATGCCCTTATAAAAAGTCCCTCTCCAGATTTCTTGTAGGCTCTGTTTAGGTACTGGAAGACATAAGGTCTCTCCTGAGCCTTCTCTTCTCCAGAATGTACAAACCTAACTCTCAGCCTCACAGGAGAGGTGTTCCAGCCCTTGGAACATGTCATGGTACTCCTCTGGACTCCCTCAAGCAGGTCCACGTCTCTCTTGTGTTGGGGGCCCCAGAGCTGAATGCAGTACTGCAGGTGGGGTATCATGAAAGCAGAGAGGGAGAATCCCCACCCTCAACCTGCTGGTCATGCTCCCTTTGGTGCAGCCCAGCACAGGTTGGCTTTCTGGCTGCAGGCTGCAAGCACACACTGCTGGCTCATGTGGAGCTTCTCGGCAACTAAGCCCCCAAGTCCTGCTCCTCAGAGTTGCTCTCAATCTATTCTCTGCCCAGCTTGTAGCTGTGCTTGGGATTGCCCTGACTCAGGTGCAGGACCTTCCACTTGGCCTTGTTGAACTTCATGAGGTTCACACAGGCCCAGCTCTTGAGCCTGACAAAGTCTGTTTGGATGGCATCCCTTCCCATAAGCATGTCAACCACACCACACAGCTTGGTGCTGTTGGCAAACTTGCTGAGGGTGTCTCAGTCCCACTGTCCATGCTGCCAACAAAAGAGGTGGAACCGGTCTCAATACCAGCCCCTGAGGGACACCACTCATCACCAGTCTCCACTTGGACTGTTGACCAACTCTCTGAGTGCGACCGTGCAGCCATTCCTTATCCACTGATTGGTACATCCATCAGTTCCACACCTCTCCAATTTATATACAAGGATTTAATGTGGGACAGTGTCAAATGCCTTGCACAAGTCCAGGTAGATGACATTAGTTGCTTTTCCCTTATCCACCAGTGCCATGGTCCCATCGTAGAAGGCCACCAGATTTGCCAGGCATGATTTACCCTTAAGTGAAGGCATGTTGGCTGTCACCAATCACCCCTTTATAGTCCATGTGCCTTAGTGGTTTCCAGGAGGATCCACTCCATGATCTTGCCAGGCACCAAGATGAGACTGACCAGTCTGTAGCTCCCTGGGTCTTCCTTTTTTCCCTTTTTTAAAAATGTGGTTTATATTCCCCCTTTTCCCATCAGCAGGAGCTTCACCAGACTGCCATGACTTCTCAAAGATGATGGATAATGGCTTGGCAAAGCCTTCTCACCCAAAACACTTCCTTTTCTTCACATCCTCTGACATAGCAACTAAGGCGGCAGCAGCAATGAAGTGACAGAAGACAGGTTCAAAAGATTCAATATATTAAAAGGTTTAGAAATGCTCACAGGGCATAAATAGGCAGACCTTTTTTGTCTCCTTACCACACAGTGTACCAAAGAGAACGACTCTTACAAGCTCTCTAAGCAGCAAAAATGGACATGAGCTAACTGGCAGTGACAAAAACACAGGCTTCTGTGATAAAAGAGCTGGGGAGCAAAGCCCCACAATAAAATCCTAAAAAAAACCTCAAAAGTCATCAGCAAATTTGGCTTTGCAGTCAGGCATGTCTATATCATAACATGACATCCAGAATCCCCTGCTTCCTCTCAGCTACTCACTTGTTTTTTCCTTGGCATATCCATTCTTCTGCCAGCTGCTTCCTCTCCTGGATGCTAAGGGACAGTCCTTCTCCTGTTGTGCCATTCACTGTTTCAACACAACACACTTGCTTAGGCTTGGCCTACATGCATTGGTTTTACTGAAGACAAGAACTGACACTTTTTATATTAAACAGAAAACTTTCCCCCCCAACTCATTTTAAGATAGCAGTGGTCCACACCAGCATCTGCTTGTGTTGGAAATCTGGGTGTTTCAGGATTGGCAATTTTGGGACAGAGGAGGCAGAATCAGCTGCTGAAACTGGGAAACTGCCCTCCCAGCACCTCCTCTCCAGCAGACACTACCTCCTTCTCTCAGCAGTGAGTCAGGCTGGGACACCCCTGATCAAGGGATGCCCACCTAGCCAAGCAAAGTGACTGTCTCTACTCCACCTCAAGGAAGCAGCCTTACATGAAATTTGGTGTCATTGCTGTGAGTGGAACTACATGTTCCACCTAGGCTAAAGCACCCCTTGAAAACAATGAAATGTCAGTATGTTCAGTCACAAACAACAGATTAAACTAGGATAGCTGTATTCTGCCACCCTCTGCTCTGCATCTCGGCAGTCTTTCCACTGAAGTTTTGAACCAAAATCATATCACTTTCAACATACTTAACTATGACAGGCTGTGAATAGAAGTGATTTAGAAATGCTGTATTCTCTATCCAGCCATCCCTGCTGCCCCTGCAGCAGTCTCCAAAACGGAAGCAGAGCAGAGAGATGGAGCAGCAGCCACCTCAGTATTGCCTGGTGCACCACAGGTCTCCTAAAGAAGCCCATCTGGCTTCGATGAGCTTGTGGAATTCTCTGGATTCCTGAGATGGTGTTTTTTAATCAGATGCTTCTTTCCCAGGCAAAGGGAAGAATCATTCAATTGAGTCTTCTCTGCCAACACAGAATTATCCATTCATCTCTGGGATCAATGAAGGCAATGCTTACTTCATCCCACTCAGAAATATGGTGTGAGCAAAAGCAGATACCTTAAGTGGCACTTGTACTCTCTCCACTGTTGAATATAAATGTTTAGGATGATCGCACATCCACAGTCCCTCCCACTACAGCTCTTATCGGATAAGGTATCACAGGATTCCCATCCAGGCAAAAGGGGTGTAACACAGTTTCTGTCAAAAAAAACACTTACCAAAAACGTTCTTCACGTTCTGCTCGCTTACCAGATAATCTACGTATTGATGAATCACTGAAAGGTTAATTTGTCTGAAATTAAAGGAACCGTAGCAATCGTAAGTCTCCACCCACAGATATCTTAAACTTAGTGATTAAGAAACCAAAAAAAGGGCACACATTTTTGAAGCCTTGCATTTGTACACACAAAGATTACTCCAAGGTACAATACCCTCAGCATGTATTTAACATTTCAAGTAACAGCTCAATTCCGAATATTTTCTTCCAGTTTCTCTTCCTCCTGACAAGTAATTTGTTGTTACAATCTTTTATCTCAATTGGTAATTACTGCAAGCTCATCACAGAGCTTTTTTTGAAGAGACAGGACAGAACAGGAGTCACTCAAACCTTTTCTACTGTTGAGCGAAACCAAAGTCCTCTTGAGAGCATGAAGATATTTGTGCAAGTGCTGGCAAATACTTAAAGTCTGCTGTAACTGCTGGACACAGTGAAATGGCATCTGCTGGACATGACTTTGACCTCTCTCTCTCATTAAATAATAAGGAAAGCAACAGACTTCCCTGACAAACAGGGGAAATTGAATTCTATGTTTATCTTCTCTGCGCAACAAACTTACTGTGTTTATCAGTGTATAGTATTTCATTCTTATTTTCATTTGTCAAACATGCAGATAAACCCTATAGTCTGGAAGTCAATTCTGGGGCCTTGACTGGGGTTCACACATCACTCAAAATTTCATAGCTGATTCCCCAAAACATATCTTACAAAGGTCATTCATTCCAGTCAGAGGGCCCAGGTTACTCTCCAAATACCATGCTGCAATAAATATGAGTTGTAATAAAAAAGTAAATCAGAAATAATTTCCTTTAAAGCAAGAAACGAAGCAGTGACTGCAGTGCAAATGGACTGCCTGAGATAGTACCATGCTTTGAAAAAAATAAAGACTCACTTTCAGAGGACTGTACTAGCAAATATCTACTGTCTCCCTCAAAAACACAGACAGATCTTGACACATCCCCCACAAGAGAAGCTTAGGGTCCATGGCTACTCCAAAGTAGGGAGGACATTGGGGGTCCCACTCTAGTCCTAATGGGACCAACCTAACAGTTCCTCCATCTGAGATCTAATAAAAAAAACAACAAACCAAACCAAAACATAAAACCAAAACAACCCCACAGAAACCAGAAGCACACACACAAAACCAACCAACCACAAACCCTCAAAACAACAACAAAAAAACCAGAAACCAAACACCCCCCCCCCCCCCCCCAAAACAACATCGGAAGTGATCAGTTCCAAATAAAATGGAAGGAAAACAAGGGTCTAAGGTAACAGCAATCAGTGCAACTTTGACAGCTCACCCATGAGGAGTCATTGGAGTGACTGTAGCAGCTACAAGACCCTCTAACTTCTTTCTGGGTGTCATTGAGCTGTTTGGAAAAGAAAGATAAAATTATTGTTCAACTTCCATTAAAAGCAAAACTGGACAGGCAAAGTCCAGAAGAAGTGGACTTTGCAAGGCTGTTAGTTTAAGTTAGAATCGCCTTTTTCTTGTGGAAGAGCAGCTTACTGCAGCCAGCACCATCCCAGGACAGGGCTGGGAGCACCGGCTGCAGTTACATTGCAAAGACTCCTATTTTACCTTTCCTTTCTCCTATTTTACCTTTCCTTTCCTACACTAGGGTGGTGGGGACGTCTGTCAGCCTGGGAGGAAAAACAGGTTTGCAGCACACCGGGTCAAGACCCTTCCCCCGAGAAAGGCGGCGCCACACGGGCTCCCCGGCGGACCACAGGGACACCAGGCCTGCAGTCAGCACCGTGCCGAGCGGAGACCGGTCAGACCGGCCGGCGGCGGCGGCTCTGGCCCCCGGGGAGCGCGGGGTGACGCCACCCCGCGGGGCAGCGACGGCGACCCCAGGCACCTCACAACCCCAACCCCCTTCGCTCACTTTACCTCGCCTCTTCTCCCTTGCCGGCGGCTGGCCAGCCCCGCCAGCTACTCCGGGGCGGCCTCGCTCCGCCCTCGGCCCGGCCTGGCCCTGCCCTGCCCCGGCCGTCAGCAGCTCTCCCGGGCTGAGTCGGGGACTGCCGCCGGGCTGGAGCATGGAGCAGCCTTCTGCTTTCTTCCCGGCTGCCTCCGGTGACCCACTAAAGCAGCCGCAGTCCCCGCAGTCTCCCATAGCCCACACTCTACAGTACTGTTTAAAAGCAAAGGCTTGTTTGGATTATTAAAGGCTATTTTCAAAATTAAAACAAAACAAAACACACCCCCCCCCAAAAAAAAAAAAACCAAAAAAAAAAAAAACAAACTTTTGAAAATAAATAAACTACAGAGCGGAGAAGGAAGAGGGCTGGCTGCATGTCTGAAGAGACACCGGGCTTTAAGGAATGCTTTGCTGCAGGAACGGTACCTGTTCTAGTCCAGATGGGCGGCAGCCCTGCTGAGCACCAGGGCAGGAGATCGGGGGGGAGGGGGGAGTTAGTTAACAGATCTATGAATTTCAGCACGGATTTCTGCCCAGGTACGAGCCACCGTTGAAAATAAAGGAAGAGGATATCCTCCTGATGATGGCTGAAAACACTGAGGGAAGCCTGGCTGCAAACTAGAAGCGTGATTGCCTGAAGTGACTCAGGCTGGGCTCCCCTTAGGCTGCCTACACAGAAACTCTGGAGCTGCACAAAGAAGGAAGATCATGCCACCGCTTTGATCAGCAGCACCAAATGCCTTCCTGGACCTGTCTGCTAGAGAGACGCATCCACTGCAGGGTACAGTAGAGAGAAAACCACATTTTCTGCAGTTCAGTGCCATTGAATGAGAGGGATTTCAAAAGGCTCATCGTGGTAAATTAGGAAGTAAACCCACTCCGCCTTGTTGTAAAGGAAACAAGCACCAAATGCCATGTCAAAAGCTAAAGCTTGGGAACTGCGATTAACAGCATCTCTAATTGAAAGATTATTTTTTACTAAACAAATTAGTCAGATTTCATCTTTTCTCTGTTCTCAGACAAAACAAAGGTGCAACTGCAGTTGAAACCAAAAACTACAGCTCAGTAATTTAAGGGTAAGCATCAAAATATTATCATTACCATAAAACAAAATCTCATGCGCTGATGAAATAAACCAGCAATTGACCTCTGTGCTTTAGCCCCCCTTTTAAAATAGAGGTCGCATTTAGCTCTTCTGTTCCTTGCCATGGTTATCTAACTGTAAGCTCAATAGTCTCTGACAGATGCCTGCTGTGGTGGGGACTTCCTGTTACTCAGTGCCTCTAATTTGCAGTTCTTTTATGCATTGTCACTATTTGGATAGGAGAAACCCAAACCAATAACGTGTAAACATATAACATATGAACGGAAAAATGATGCCATAAACTAAAAGCCATGAGATACATAGAAATCAGAAGTTAAGGAGAAGACCTGCTCCATTTTGGCCTTGTGTGGTACACCACTATAGCATGGGTATGGCTCATGGTATGGGACCTGCAGAACACCACGAAGGCTTCAACCAGGAAAGGCTTTGGCTGCTCTTTCCTCATCTTCCACCCATTTCTTGTTTCACTGTGATGGTGAAAGCATCCCAATGCCAACTGCAGTGCCATGGTGCTGCAACATGCAGCATGGGGAGCTGGGAGGGTCCGTATCACTGTGTGAGAAAGGCAAATGGAGGTTAGGCTATGACAAGTGAGCAGAAAACGGTGGCTTATGGGCAAGCAAAACCGCTCCTCATGTGCAACCCATGTGGCTCCCATTTTCTTCTCTGACATGTGGTTTTACTAGATGTGTACCACATGCCGGGCAGAGTCTGGGGGCCATGGCAGAAAGGCAGCTATGCACAGCACAGTCCTCCACCCCACCAGGACCACAGCTGGTCTGGAATTCAAATCTTCTTGCAGTAGCTGTGACCAGCAGACCACCAGCATCTCTTAAGACAAGGTAGTGCCCTGCACTGATTTGTGGCTGACATTTAACTCAGAAGAAAAGAGTCTACGAAAGGCCACATAGACTGCATATAGACTGAACACCAAAAAGGTATCAGTAGGTCTTTTCTGAATACACACAATGACTGTAGCTTGCAGCTCTCCTGTGGGCTTGAACTGCTGCCTGAGGAAAATTATTTGGGTTTTCTACAGCCATTCATATACCAGGTTCAATAAAACATTATGCCTTGAGTGTGCACTTTAAGATATTCCATTAGAGCACAGTTTGAGTCTCCAGTGCCTGCAGTAGAGAGAACAATCTGGTGTTGTGTGCTCTGGGATCACATTTTTCATGTACTCAGCATAATAAACTCAGGAGTTTGGGTTTGTGGTAATCCTCCTCCACTTCAAAATATGCTCACTGTGGGCTATTCACACACAGAGATCACTCTCTCTGGGGTCTGGCTTTATTAAAAGGCTCTTACAAAGCACATGTATTTTTCTTTTCTCTGAGGCTCATCTCATTCTTCCAGAAATCCTGTATTCTCAGTGCTCTTTCCATTACTATGGTTAATTTTTCTGCAGGCTAAACAGCCCCAGCTCTCTCAGTCTCTCCTTGTTATATAGATTCTTCAATCCCATGATCATCTTTGAGGCTGCTCACTGGACTCACTCTAGTAAGCCCGTGTCTTCCCTCTACTGGGGAGCCCAATGCTCCAGATGCATCCCACCAGTGTTGAGCAGAGCGGAAAGATGACCTTCCTCGACCTGTTGGCAACTCTCTTCCTAATGCAGGATACTGCAGGGCACATGTTCTGCTTGTCCACCAGGATCCCCAGATCCTCTTCAGCCCAGCTGCTTTCCAGCTGGGTGGCCCCCAGTCTCTGCTTGTGCCTGGCCTTATTCCTCCCCTGCTGCAGGACATTGCACTTCCCCTTGTTGAAGATCATGAGGTCCCTGTCAGCCCATTGCTCCAGCCTGTCAAGGTCTCTCTGCTGAGGGTGTTCTCTGCTCCATCATTAGGTCATTAATGAAAAGGCTAGGCAGTACTGGCCCCAAAAGAGCAGCGTTATTTCAGGAAGTTCAGAGATAATTCTGCAGTGCTCTGCAGAGCCATTCAGAGAGAGTTCAAATTTTCTGAGTATCTTAAGAGAGTTTTAGAGCAGCTTCATGCTGTTGACAGCATGAGAAAAGTTTTACAGTAGCTTGAAGTGGTTTACAGCTGCTTAGAACAGTTTGTAGGAGTTACAGATGGTACACTAGAGAGTTAAAGGCATTTGAGATATATTTAGAGACAAATTAGTACTGTTAGTAGCAGCATAGAGGAGGTGTAGATCAATTTAGTGGTGCTCTGAGGTTTTTAGAAGAGCTTTAGAAAAGGTAAAAGAGTTTTACAGTTCTTCAGAGTGCTTTACAGGAGTTTTGGCACATTTCATAGGACTTTAGAGTTGCTTAGAACTGTTAATAGGCCGTTTAGAGAAGTTAGATCAATTTAGAGCAGTGTGGAGCTGCTTAGTGCTGTTTAGTCTTAGAGGACTTTAAAGAAGTTTCAGCAGCTGTTTCTCTGAACAGGACTTTGAGAACTACAGGAAGGAGTTCTAGAGCAGTTGCAAGGAGACTGAGCAGGGTTTGAGATCTTTTGAAGCATTTTATTGCTACTCAGACAGGTTGTAGAACAGTATAGTGCATTTTATTCTTTTAAAGGAGCTTTTTAAAGGAGTTCAGATAGGTTTAGTGGCACCCTAAGTGTTTTAGAATCAAATTATTTATAAAGGTGTAATTTATGGGGTTTAATAATAGCTCTTTAAGAGCTCATCAGGGGCATTTTGTAGCTGTCTGGTAGTATTTTAGAGAGGTTTAGAGCACTCAAAGTATATTCAAGCAGTTCTAGCGATCCTGAGAGGAATTTAAGAAGACCACAGGAAATCCAAGGATCAATAGAGAGATGTTCTAGATAAGATCAGATGAGTCTGAAAGCTCCTTAGAGGAAGTTTAGAAATATGTTCGTGCCGTTAAGAGGACCCTAGCACTCTTTAAAGTGTATTACAGCTTTTCAGAACTGTTTTTTATGTGCTTTTGAGGAGTTCTGGAGGAATTTGGAGTTATTTGTGAATTCTCCAGAGCTCTTTACAGGAAGTTTAAAGGCATTTTAAAGGTGGTAATAAATCCTTAGGGATGTTTAGAGCCATTTAGTGGCAGTTTAGAGCTGATTAGAAGAGTTTTAGAGACCTCTTGGACTCATGTAAATTACATGTGGTTTGAGGCAACTGCCTCACAGTAGCAATACAGAGGTCCTTACAGCTCTTTGGAGCTGATTAAAGGACTTATAGGGCAATTTAGAATAGACATGCAGTGGTTTAGAGCTGCCTAGAGGGAGTACAAGAAATTTTAGGGTTGCCCCAGCCCATCACCTCCCCAGTTCAGTGCTGGTTCAGGGTTAGGACTGTCTTTCCATATCTCTTGAAACCACCATCAATGTTTCCAAGTGTCCTCACTACATCTGGCCCTCTCCCCCAGTCCTTGGGTGAGGTTTTGTGTTCCAGGGCAGTCTTTGCTTACCTTTGGAAGGAATGCAATGAGGATAAAGATGGTAAAGATTCTAAAACTCTCTGATATTTACACTGATAAGTCCCTATGTAATTACCAGAAGGAAAAAGAACTGTGCTTTAACCAAAACCAATACACAAATTATTCCATAGAGTTCTGAAGGACAGCAGTACTACGTAATACAGTAGCTAATTATTAACTCTTCATTCCTCCTACAGTCATCAGCAAGTGAATACCTGCACATCCCCTTACGCTAATGTCCTGAGTGCTAGCATGCCACATGCAATCAGCAGTGCAATGACATGTGAGTTCACTTTTAAAGATAAGAGAAAAAAGAAATGAGTTTATCGTTGCTATTTAAAATACTTTCTCTCCTTTTTACTCATTTCATGTGC